GCGGCCAGAGCGCCGCGCCGCCGCCCCCCTCCAGGTGCCGCCCCAAGCACCAGCTTGGGTGCTTGGTGCCTGGGGCCGGCCCTGCCGGCAGATCACCCGCTGAATCTGCCTGACTGCCGTGCTTGGGGCAGCAAAAAACATAGAGCCGCCCCTGACCACAGCAGAGTGTGCATGCCTGTGTGCGGGGGACAGACAGACAATCACAGCAAGGTGTGTGTGTTGGGGGACACGGATAACCACAGTGGGGGAGCAGGGACAGACAACCAAAGCAGTGTGTGGGCGGAGAGAGGGACAGAGGAGGGGACAGATAACCACAGCAGAGTGTGTGGGTGTCGGGGAGGGGGGACAGACACACACACACACACAAGCAGACAACCACAGCAATGTACGTGAGGGGGGGAGGAGGAGGCGGCGGCGCCACACACACACGGGGAGGGGGACGGGCTGCCCTAGCTATGCCCTTGCAGGCCCGGCCCGGCGTTACTCACTCGCGGTGCCAGAGCTCCCGCAGCCGCTCCCAGCCCGTGTCCGGGGGCTGCGCGGTGCCGATGTGCCGGGGCGCCGAGCCCAGCTCCGGGCCGCTCCCAGGGGCCCCCATGCCCGGCTGCTGCCGCTGGCTCCAGCCTCCGGCCCAGCAGCGAGGAGCGCGGCCCGGTCCCGGACGCCTGGGTCCCCCCGGCCCCGCCTCCCCGGCGGCAAGAGCGGCCCGGCTCGGCCCCGCTCCGCCCCCTGCCGCCCGGGAGGGGCAGCGCAAGCAGCGGCCTGGCCCCGCCCCGCACATCCCCCGCCCAGGGGCCGGGCTGCCCCTCTCCTGCCCCCGCGGCCCTGTCTGCCCGTTCATGTGCGCTGCCCAACGCGCTGCCCCAGAGCCCCAGCAGGCAGCGCCCAGAGGGCGGCATGTGGCACGCTGGGATCCCGACCCCTGGGCATAAGCGCAGGAACTTGGGGTGCTGCCTGGAAGTGGTTTCCCTCACATAACAGGGTTTACAGTTTGGTTCAGTGGCTCTCAGCACCCCCCCCCCCCATACAAATTGTTCCAGCGCAACCACCCCATGGAGCACAAGCAGCCAAGTGTACAGGCACCCAAGCAATATACCAGGGGTCAGCAACCTTTCAGAAGTGGTGTGCTGAGTCTTCATTTATTCACCCTAATTTAAGGTTTCGCGTGCCAGTAATACATTTTAACGTTTTAAGAAGTTCTCTCTCTATAAGTCTATCTTATATAACTAGGCTATTGTTGTACGTAAAGTAAACAAGGTTTTAAAAATGTTTAAAAAGCTTCATTTAAAATTCAATTAAAATGCAGACCCTCCCCCCACCCCAGACTGGTGGCCAGGACCCAGGCAGTCTGAGTGCCACTAAAAATCTGCTCGTGTGCCGCCTTTGGCACACGTGCCATAGGTTGCCTACCTCTGCAATATACCAACAGCAGCAGCTGTACAGCCACATAACTTGCATCCACTATAGATTGTAGTGTAGACATGGCCTAAGAGCCCCCAGCCTAACACCAACACATTCTCTCTCCATTAACCAAGGAAAGAGCCTCACGCACACAAACACTCTCTTTCTCTCTCTCCCTATGCCCCAGTGGCTTGGAAGATGCATACCTACTGCTAACCAAGGAAAATGCTTTCCCCCAGCAGACTTTCACTCCCTCTCTCTCTCCACAGCTTGGAAGATGACTGCCTAGTGCTAAGCAGAAGCAGCAGCTTTCAGCCAGCAGAAAGTAGAGAACAAGGCAGCCCAGCTGCCCAAGATCCAGTGAACATACATATGTTGGAGTACACATCTCAGGAATAATGTCACCAACACTCACCGTTTTATCACAAACTTCTTAGTTGTGTTCCCCACCCCACCCCCCCCCAAAACCCCGGTTCCTGGACTCAGGTGACTTTTGTGAGGCGCAGCTTTCATTTAAAAAAAAAAAGGTATGTTTGTAGACCTCATGGGTGTGGAGAAAAGCTTGAACATGACTCAAGAGGATCCAGTGGGCTCAGAAACCAGAAGCAAATAAAAATACCCCCACCCCATTTATTACACCTCTACCTCGATATAACGCTGTCCTTGGGAGCCAAAAAATCTTACTGCGTTATAGGTGAAACCACGTTATATCGAACTTACTTTGATCTGCCAGAGTGCGCAGCCCCGCCCCCCCCAACCGCCCGGGAGCCGCTGCTTTACTGCATTATATCCGAATTCGTGTTATATCGGGTAGCGTTATAGTTGGGTAGAGGTGTATTTTTAAGCCAATCAAATTAAGTGTAGGGACCTGAATGCTTGTGGTTGGTAAGACTGATAACTGCACTAGTTTATTCAAATCCAAGAAACTCCAAATCCTGAAAACCTGGATTCCAGCTTAATAGAACCCACAAAAATAAACACCAATTTGTTTCTCAGGGTGCTTTCCAAAGTAATAGACTATGCAATATACAGTAGAGGGGCAATCTACTCATAGGAAATAATTTGATGAATTGTAATCTTTTTCCCCCCGTTTTCAAATTATCCCAAAACAGACTGATTTCTACTGATTTGTTCATTATTAAAAAGTATTTAATACTTTATGCAACTGTATTTCAGCCTATAGGCTAATTGTGAACTGTTCACTTCTGCAATTTATGGTGTCTGATTGCTCACCTAACTTATACGGTCTTGTTTCTGCTTTTTGATTGCCTGAGAATTTTATAAGTGAGGAAGAAAAATAAAAATATTTCATGACAACCATGGAAACACATGCACAAGTTTTCCTAGGACTTACACTTTCTGCCAACATTCATGTAAGAAAAAAAAAATTACATGTACAAATATTTGTGGAAAACTAATAAAAAGGGTCACCAAGAACATTGGAGCAAAGTTGCAGCTTTTATTTGAACTAATGTTTATGAAGAAAGTTTGGCAATACTGGCCCACTTCTATTACACATGTAGCACCTCCAAAGTGGAACATGGCAGCCAGCACACAGTACAACAGCCCGGAAATGGGATATGCCAACCCTCACTTTATCAAAAATTACTAGGGAATCTTTAATGTCCACACAAAGTACAAAAAGGATCTTGGTTTGTAAGATTTCATTGGCCTCCTTTCCCCAGTAAAGGGCAAGGAGCTCCATTTATCTACTTCTAAAAGAGATATGGCAGGTTCAGCCCTATTGTGATTTGAATGTAGGGTGACCTGACAGCAAATGTGAAAAATTGGGACTGGGGTGTGGGGGGGGTAATAGGAGCCTATATAAGAAAAAGACCCAAAAATCGGGACCGTCCCTATAAAATCGGGACATCTGGTCACCCTATTTGAATGTATAGTTGGAGGAAGTTGTGTTTCAATCCTGATGCTTAGGTCATTCACACCAGTGCCTCTGCTTACGGTTCCTTACATTAGTTCTCTGTATGGTTCAGTAGTATAAAAGGATATTTAAAAAAAAAATACAAGAAATGAAACCAAAGCCATATTCCTTTCTGAAAATGCAAAAGTATAGTTCAGGGAAACTTTAACCATACTGTACCCAGAACTAAAGAAATAAAAGAGGGAGTAGTACTTCCCCCCCCCCACCTCACAATCTACAATCCTGAGCTGGTCCTTGTGTACTTTAGAGTTCCTACCTTTTTTCTTCTTTTTAAATTCTGACTGGAAAATTAGTGCTGATGCTCTAGAGGCTGAGCTCTTGCTGCTTATACCCATTCAAAATGCTGCTGGAAATGATCATTTGCCTGGCTCATTGCTTTGACTACATCATCCCTTTCTATCGCTCCATTGGCTCATCCTTCTCCATCTCATCGAGCACAAACTACATACCTTCACTTTCAGAGCCCTTCCCAGCCTATCCTCACCTTACCCATCACATATGCTGTTGAGTTGGCTCTGCATTGCTAATGATGCCAGCCTTCATCACCCACTTGTTACATTTTTTAAAAGCACCTTCATATTCTCTCCCAGGCTGCCCCTCAAGCTTGGGAGGAGCTCCCCATAAACACCTGCAAAGCTATATCCTTGTTCTCCTTCAAATCCCTCCTTAAAGCTCCCCTTTGCCACGATGCCCACAGCAAACTTGACAACAGTTAGCCAGCTGGTGTGCTGAGACCTCTGCCTATCATACTTACCAGTATTGGCTCACTGTTTCCTTGGGCTCCCCTCTCTTGTCTGTATTCACCTGTTGTCTCTTGTCTTAGACTGTAAACTCTCTTTTTATTGCATTTGTACACCGCCTATCACAGTAAGATCCTGGTCCTTAACGAGGGCTCCTAAACCACAGCTGCACTACAAATGATATACTCACAGAATAGGGCAGTTTTAACACACTGCCCCAAGAATGTGTTTAAATGTTACTCTGGAGGGAGAAACCACCCCTAGGGTGGAGATGGGACTTCAGTCTCCTGTCAACGCAATCTTTGGCTTCTCTGCTGAGACAGGCAGCAAGGGGGCCAATTAGTTGCACCTGGTTTAGTGATGTGACCACCTGCCTACAAGGAAATGAACTCAGTTCCCTAAATTATTGCACATGGGCCACTGAACAGCTATCAGGTGGTAACAATTTTTAATCTCTACCAATTTTGGACAAGATTTGAACTAGTGACTTAAGGTATATCTACACTTATGGTGATGTGTAGATTACTAACACTGTATGCCCAGCTAGCATGGGTATAAATAACAGTGCAGACGGGGAGACATGGCTTAGGTGAGCAGAATGCCCTCCATGCCTGAACCCCCAGGGTATATACCCAACATGGTTCTCTACACACCCAAACAGTGCCTTCCATGTCTACACTACTTTTACAAGTGCAGTGCCCTGCTGCCTTCCTGCTCTCTGAGCCTTTTCCAGTCACGTGTAGCTACACACCACAATGACAAAGGTGGACACAGCCTGTCTTTCACTGTAGCATGTAGTAACACGTGTAGTGCCTGTAGTCTACATGCTCTCTTAAGTATAAGAGCTTTAGATGCAAAAGGCTCCACTTCTCAATCCCATTCCCATGAGCTATCCAATTCCTCTAAAAACATCTCCCTAAAGAGAACAAATGGTAAGGAATGTATACATTACTACATCCTGTTGGGTAGAACAGCTGTTGACTGTCCAGTTCCTTTATTACAATAGAATCATTCTTTTGATTGAGAAATAATTCAGCCAATAAAAAGAGTGGTTGATTTTTTGTTTTTAATCCAAAAGCACTTCATTAAAAACAAAAAGGATTTAAAAATACAGTAGATAAATCTGTTCTATCATTTCAGATAATTCCGTCTCCTCATTAAAACCTGTCATTCAAGCTTTTATTAAAAAGTCTTCCAGTATTACACAGTTCTGACTCCAAGATATTCATTTCCTGATTTCATTCTTTTACATGCTGGGTCAGCCCAGACAGTGGTCCTGTAATTGGCGCTCTGCACTGGAAGCTGATGTTTGCCTGTCATGTCTAGTTCTTCTTGCCCTGTACTGGGGCCTGATGTTGGAATGTGTTTGTGTGTGAGAACTCTGCAGCACCCCAATCTGCCAGAAGTCAGAAAAATCAGGTCACGGCTTTTTCTACTCCTCTGATTCAGTTGCCAAAGGAGGAGGAGGGGGTAAGTAGTTGCTTCCATCTCTCCTCTGTTTCCACTCCCCACCCCACCAGTTATCTCGGTAGCACATGGCCAGCCGAGTTGCGGTACTCACATGAGATGCAAGAACCTCAAAAGAGTGAGACCCCAAGC